GCACAGTGGTTCTTGAGAAGAAGTTGAAAATGTGAAAAGTTTACAGACGGACGGACAGACGGACGGACGGACAGACGGACGGACAACGGGTGATCAGAAAAGCTCACTTGAGCTTTCAGCTCAGGTGAGCTAAAAAGCATATTCATCAAAGACAAAACTCTTTTTTTTTATCATACAGTAATATGAAATGGACAATGTTGTTTTGAAATAGGCAGATGGGGGGGGGGGGGCAGAGAAAGAGAATAATTATGTACCCATTTTCGTTCGAGACAACTGGCATTAAGGAGAGAATAAAGACAGATTACTTACAAGTTACAACTACAGGCATCCACGGATCTGAAGGGGGTTAGGGTTGGGGCGCTCGAACCCCTGGAATTGGCGGAGTTATTAAATGCACATTTAAATTAAAAAAATTGATCTTGGACAACCCCTCCCCCTTCAAAAAAACGCCCCCTGTTAAGTTTGTAGGGAAAGTACACATTAAGCGCCTGAGAAGTGAAGGAAAGCAGCTTTTGCAACCCCCCCCCCCCCTTACCCTTCTTTCCCATGAAAAAGTTTTTTTTAAATTAATGTTTGGAAAAGGAGTTTACTTTTTTGCTTGTCAACACATTTCTGGCATTATTTTTATTAATATTTTTTTGACTGAGGTGGAATCCCCTCCTGGAAAAAAAATCCTGGATAACGTACATCTATGCATCAACCCCCACCCCACCCCTCCATTATCTAAATATAACTAACGAATGTAGAATTTCTCGATAATGTCTGATTTCCCATCAATTCAATCTTTATGTTATTCTGTGCAATTGGTTTGTGCTGTTTCTCAGTTTAACAGTTTGGCCGCGGGGGGGGGGGGGGGGGGGGGGTGACGGTACATATTGTTGTCGTCGGCGACAATATGTACCTACCCTCACTGCACATATTGTCGTCCATCGATACATATTGTCGCCTGCTGAAAAGTTAAACATGTACATATTGTCGCTGGCGACATTATGTGCCTCACCCTCACTGTACATATTGTCGCCCCACAGAAATTGTTGCTTAAAGATTTGTTTTGTTGTTTTTTGGTAGTTTTGTGAATATAATTGTTGTGTTAATCACACTGACGTGTCTCGTACGCTATTTCATGCAGCGTGGTTGTGACGGTACATTTTGTCGTCCTGTTCATATTGTCGCCGGCGACAATATGTACCAACCCTCACTGCACATATTGTCGTCCATCAGAACATGTCGCATGGCAATGCACGGCAATGCTCCATGTAAATATGGCCAGAGCAACCGAAAACTTAAAAAATGGTCATATACTTAATTCGAATGCCGAAATATGGCTGAAATATTGTCGACTCAGCGTTAAACAATAATAATACATCAATCAATCCATATTGATATGACTAATCATTGCTTTAATTTTTTTGAGAAGATATTTTTTTAAAGAATTTTCCCATATATTCCTATATGATTTGACTTGAACCTTCACTACCTGAGAATGATTCCAGAAATTTCAGAACGGAAAGGGATTGGGGGGGGGGGGGGGTGCGGGTGGTGCAGAATATTTTTGACAAGCAAAATATTTAAAAAGTCATTTGTATGTAAAGGTTTGTTATTGTATATGTTAAGTAAATTATTTAATTATGAAATTTTACCTGTGGACTAAATTGAGAGAATATACAAGTTAAACAAACAGAATTAACCAAAGCACAAAAAATCAAACCATCGGGCCAGGGGGAGGGGGTGGGGGTGCGCCAGTGCTACATCTGTCTGGTTTTTTGAAAAGATTTTAAAGATTTTCTGTACATTTTCTTACGTAAAACTTGATTTTGTTTGTTTGTTATAATGTCCATCTCGAGAATTTTTCATCCGTTTGTAGACGTCACCACTTGCCAGTGGAGGGCTGCAAATTTAGACCTGCACTTGGCACTTAGGGTCATTGAGCAGTGAGGGATCATTTTCGTGCCAGCATCTCAAAATTGAACTTACGCTATGTAACGAAGCTTTCACATACTGTACGTGTACATAAATTGGCGTATTCAAAATTTAGCGCAGTCATTTGATATGGAGTTGTTGGCGTAATCATGAATTAGCGCTACACATGTCAGTGCCATGTATTGTACATATAAATGATTTCTTAGCGATATTCAAGAATTAGCGCATCGGTGTCCGCGCCAAAGCCGCTAAAATAAGAAGCCCGCTTTTTAAGTGCACTTACAGTAAGTATCATCTCTTTTGACCCAGTACCTCTTGAAAAAAAATTTGACAGATTTTTTTTTTCTAGATATTCTATGAAAAACTTTGATCACCTATTGTAACCAACCACACCCTTCCCCCAAGGGACGTGATCTGAAAAAAAGCAGGAAAAAGAATTCAATAACGTTGATAAAGGCCTTGCTATGGTAAAGGAACAAATGATGGGCAGCGGAAAAAAACCCTCTAAATTGCATCAATTAACCAATGTAGTCATCCAGCCTCAGCAACAGATGAAAAAAAAACTTTATCTACACTTCATAATGAAGCTTTCACATAAGTTTCAACTTTTCTGACACAATGGTTCATGAGAATATTTTCAAAAGATGTCACTAAATGATCACTAATTCTTAGCTACTTCCCTTGGAAGAGGGCATGGTCCTTCATTTGAACAAACTTGAATCCTCTTTATCAAAGGATGCTTTGTGGCAAGTTTGCTTGAAATTGACCCAGAAGTTCTTGAGAAGAAGCTGAAATTATGAAAAGTTTTCAGACAGAGGGACCGTCAGACAAAATGTAATCAGAAAAGCTCACTTGAACTTCCAGTTCATCTGATCTAAAAAATGTCAAACCCCAACAGCAGTTATATCGGCACATGATTTTTATAAAATAAACGCAAAAAATAATTTCTAAATAATAATTACTACTGAACAAAAAAAAACCCAGTCAATTCTCGAATTATCGCCATTCGATTTATCGCCATTCTCGCAAAACCGCCATGATTTTTCAAGAACGTTTTTCCTGCTATATTAAATTCTCTTTAAAATGCCAAATTCGCATACCGCCATCCGCCACCGTTTTCACAACAAAGGTCCATTTCAAAGTGTCAACAATCTCGATATACCGCCATGTGGTCAGTGAAGCGACTAATTGGTTGTCGCTATCTAGATCACCATTGTAAAGCCAGACAAGGTACATGTAATTAAAGAATTAAATAAACAATAATGTTATAACATCAACTGTAATTACAAATTTTGTTTTCTGTTTAATAAAAATGATTCAATCATGATTTCTCCACGAAAGCGGTTGTTGTTAAACTTGAGTTTGTCGACAACGATATTAGTTCAAATATCCCTACTTCATATAATGCAAAGTTTGCTTTAAAATAATGATACAGTATTACATGTAATTGTGAAAGTTTTAGCAACGACGATGTCATAAACAATTAAATTATTTACAGGAATTCATTTTACATTGTATCGGCAATACATCACGACGATCGACACGGCGTGTTTTTCTTAGATGCCAGACTTTCAGATTTACAGAACATGTACATGTATTTATTTTATAATTGTGTATTTTGTTTTAAAACGAAATTATTGTAAGCAAAACAACCATTTGAAACATTTACCAATTTTGAATAATTGTTTTTATATAATACTAAGAATATAAACGCTAAATGTTTTATTTCCAAGAACGGTAACTCTATTTCTTGTTTCCCCAAAAAGGGGAAATTCAATTTATCGCCAATTGCAAATTTGTTATACCGCCATGATTTCTAATTAACAAAAGGCGGCGGTTTATCGAGAATTAACTGTACATGTATTCAATCTCCAAGTATATATTACAAGAAATAAGAATAGGCTGATTTTTCAGATATCTCAAGAATTACGGTATCTTGACATATCATAGTGATGTACATCAATCCTGGACACAATTATTTGACCAAAATGTTTTCTCCCTACAGTGTTACTAGCAATGGTGTCTGTCTCCTCCGTGTGTGTGTGTGTGTGTATTTGTCAAACTCTCTTTCCTTTCTCAAATAAATATCCCTCAAAACAACATATCGACGACAATATATGCCGACCTTGACTGTAAATATTGTCGCCAACGACAATATGTGCTGGTGCTTGACTGTACATTTTTTCGTCCATTATGCAGGAGGAAAAGAAGGCCCGTCTCGGTACATATTGTCGCCGGCGACAATATGTACCGATGGACGACAATATGTGCAGTCAGGGTAGGTACATATTGTCGCCGACGACAATATGTACAAAACGACAATATGTACCGTCACAGGGGATGACGAGATTAAATATGAACAATTTATAAAATGTATATCATTTTTGTATGATTTATGTATTTGTAAAGTGATTTAACCTGGTATCATATTTTCCATCTTCCGTTCCGTTCCGCTTTCCGTTCCGTTTTCTGTTCCGCGTTTTAGCAACACCCCATAAATCCCACGTGTTTCTAGCTATAACATTCAGTCATTAAAATAGAAGAATAGATTACTAGGCTTTGTAATAATTATACCAACAAGTACATTCACACTCCTTTAAAAAAAAGAGGAAGGGGTTGAACAGAAGCATTTATGGATATTTTAAATGTATCGTTTTCGACTGAAACATAAAAAAAAGAGCTCTTTTTTTATGTATCAGTCGAAAACGATATATTTAAAAACAGCTTATAGAGACAAAGGAGTTACATTCGTATAGAGACAAAGGAGTTACATTCGTATAGCGCATATCAGAATACAAAAATAGGAAAAAGGTGATTCGACCCCAGATTTAAAAAGAAAAAAATGGAAAGGGGGGGGGGGGTCAATACCCCAAGTGCCTGTGAGTTTTTATATATTTTGAGATATGATGCAAAAAGTGGCGACGTTAGCAACGTTGAACAGACTATAATTGTTAGTGTCCATAGATATCATTATTTATTAAATAACGAGTCAAACAAAAAAAAATCATGATGTTATCACTTATATACAGAAATATTTGAAATACTCTTTCTCATTAGCAATTACTTGTACGCTATTGCAGGTGACTACAGGCAAAATAGATGTTTGATGTCAGACAAATCTTGCAGTCCTTGTCCAGCTCGATTTACATCTTGTGTAGGACTACCAAATGGAAAGAATCCAATGGTTCGATTCATGTGGAAATCAAAGTATGTTATCTGCTATAAAAACAGAACAATAAGGTCAGAGGAATGTCCAGTAGGTGAATATTTCCATCCTAGAAGAGGAATCTGTTTGAAACCTGTCGAACCAGGTATGAAAGATAAAACAGCTACTGATATTGATAGTGCCTACCTAGTTAATGTGTTAGTTATAAGGAAATAAATGATATTATCTTTGGTTATGTTACAGTTGATGTACCAGATTACTGCAAGGCACATTTAAGTGATATTTTGCCAGACCCTTACAACTGTGGTCAGTACTTCAATTGCTCCTTAGGAATAACAAGTACACTTCAGTCTCAGATTCCAAGGTCACTACCATTGTTTAGGATGGAGTGTAGCTATCCAGACTTATTTGATAGCAGTTCGAGCAAATGTGAACACTTCGAGATTGTGGCATGCAGAGGGCGACCTGAACCTCAAGCTCCTTGTAAGATCTTTTGTTTATTCTGTTATTACATTGTGTACATAATCCGGAAATGATCTTTGATAAAGCTTCTCATATTCATCATTGTATTGCAATAATACGTTTAGTATATGTACTAAAGTTTTAACATTTTATTACATACTTAGTAATAAGTACAGGGTTTTTGCACATGCGATGTCCTTCTAGTCACGATAACCGTATCAGTTTTCATGGATTCTGCACGGCTGATATGGATCTGAAGAACTGATATGGATTACATAATATATATTATTTCCCTTGAATTAAATTTTATAAACATGTGACAATACACTGTTTTTTTCGGTCATATTTTCTGTAAAAAATATGCAAGCCGGTGATTATTAATTTGTATGTGCTAAAGTAAAAGTCTTCTGTATATTATTACTAAGTTTGTATCAGCCATCGACCAATACTAGCCCTCGGGGCTCTGCCTGTTACCCTGTTACTCTGCTCTGCCTGTCTTCATCCTTCGTCATCTGTTGTCATCGTCCGAAAATTATTGAATATTTTGAACTTCTTGAATATTATGCATTCCTTAAAGGTGTATCTTTTCGCATTTCGTAAGATTCTGAGCTATCCTTCGTTCAATTCTATCCTTTTCGATTATTGGTCGTCTTTCTGACTGCTGATTTGCTGAGAATAAAGAACATGACGACAGGTAACTAGGTATTCCCATAGGGTATTCCGCAGGAGATTTGACAATCCTCTACATCGTCTATTTATAGCCCATTACCAAGAAATCTAAGTGTAAATTTTCCAACTCTCTACAGAGCAAAATACAGAGACACGACACGCTTTTTTAAATGTGGACTCTGTCCACATCAACGTATAAAAGTTTTGTTGCTCGAGTCTGGTGTTGCTTTTTCAAGCAGAGACAAAGTGAACTTAGATTGAAAAATTCGTGATAGTAAGGTGACCGTTAAAGCTCATTGACCGCCTGTTGACTCCCTCTTCAGAACAACTCAATCAATTTTAACCAAACTTGCTATAAATTATCCTAAGGTATGGGAAATTCAGATTTGTTCACTGCCAAAAAAGGGGGAGGGGTATTTATATGTTTTAGAAATATTATTTTTTTTTATTTAGAAATAGTAAACATAATGAGCTCGTAATAACAGAAGAAGAAACCCATAGGATCGGGATGGGTTTTAGTCTTTAAAAAAAACATCGATCTCCGTTCCGGTTATCAATTTAGGCTAAAGTTATAAAGTTATTCGTTTCTCATACAGAAAGAATAAAATCATAATGGAATTGATTAAATTTTAAGGTATCAAATTGATCAAATGTAACTGTAAAAATATAGCATAGCTAATTGCAGACGAGAATACCTGTATCGAGTAACTTCAAGCGAAAAGTTCTTGTCCTCGATGGATATATGAAGTAATCAAAACTTCTAACCTGCCAGCCTAAAAGGGTGTTGCTAAAACGCAGTACGAAAAACGGAACGGCAAATGCAAAGATTGATTGATTGTATCTTGTTTTACGTCCCATTCGAAAATGTTTCACTCATATAGAAACGTCCGGTGAAGGGCTTCAAAATTAGACCTTTACTCGGAACTCAGGGCCATTGAGCAGTGAGGGTTCTTTATCATGCCAACTCCTACCATGACACGGGGCCTCGGTTTTTAATGTCTCATCCGAAGGACCCGCAACTCTCACTTCAAAGTGCCGAGCGCTTGGCGAGTTGCTACCTATATTTTATCCAAATGGACTTTTGCAAGAAGCGCTGACTTCTACAATCGAGGACTTACCTTAACACTAGGACAATATACAGATGTCAATATTTAGCTTAACAGTTAATTAAACGATAATAATGGGGCATTTCAACACAGATATTACGTTGAAGGGGAACGAGAACTACCTTATGCTCAACGGGTGCATATCATTTAAGCAAAATTATCAAAATTTTCATTACCGCTACATGCACATTACCGCTACAAAAAAGGATACATTACCGCTATATTTAAAAGTATACATTACTGCTACATTGTCTCTTTCGTTAGCCAGCGTCTTATGCATGTACAGTACAACACACACACACACACACACACACACACACACACACACACATATATATATATATATATATATATATATATATATATATATATATATATATATATATATATATATATGCATAAGACCTGTTGCCCCTGCTCACCAGGGGAAGGTGAAAATAGGACTTTGAACAGGATTTTTTTTTCTTCATTTTTTATTTGTCACAAACTTCTCAATAGTAGCCATGACATTCATCTGACGCAAATCGACTACAGACTTATACGAGTATATATATTCATTTTGATTAGAATTCAGTTCCAAATTGTACTTCACTACATGGTGAGTTAATTATATTGAATGGAACTCATATCCCGTGTCATTGCTGGCCGATTCGGTATGTAGCGGTAATGAGTTGTTGTCGGCATTAGTCCCTTTGATAAAATGTAGCGGTAATGATCGCCCGAAAATTTGAAAATTGTAGCGGTAATGAGTTGAAATTTTTCGTAATGTAGCGGTAATGTTGACCTCCCTTCTCAACCCACCTTAACCCATCTTCGCTAGCCAAGGGTTTCTGATACGCTACTCTCCTCATAAGTCCTTGGCATACGGTGTTAAAAAAGTTGGGATTTTTTTCTCAAGTTGTGATTGGAGTTGATCGACATCGTTAGACCAATCAGCAATTGTTTTTTGTAAATGACGATATTTGCGTTCGGGATATATCTTGGCTCTTTAATATCGGGAATGAAAAACGCAAGTAAACAACGATCCGTAAGATAACATGCCATTCTATGAATAGCTACATGTATATGGTGTCATCCAATATCTTTAACTACGTGCAAAATATGTGATTAAGAATCAATACTGAAGATTAATTAAATAACAAATTAACATAACTCAATACCTTCTTGTTAATTATTCTTTAAAAACATTATTGTTTTAAATACGCTTGTTATTTCTGTCGATGACACAATCTGTGCTTACCTGGTAAGAATCGTGATCACGTGACGAAAACAATTCCGTCTTTTGTCAGCACCGTATGCCAAGGGTTTATGAGGGGAGTAGCGTATCAGAAACCTTTGGCTAGCGAAGACGACCTTAACCAACTCCTGCCAAATTTTTCTTCCGGATTGTTTTCCCCTTATTTGATTCCTTCAGAAAGTGAGATTGAAAGGAAATACAATACCTCACGAATAAGGTATTTAGTTATGTTATCCTGTCTCCCATCATTTCGTATGTTGAATGCATACCGGTAAGTCGTGTGAGTGTCCCTAACACCATACCTATGATCACTAGTAAGGTTTTCTTATTTATTATCAATTCCGCTCCTGTATACATAACACTAGCTGCAATAATGTAGCCCTCTCCAATTTTTTTTTTTTGGGGGGGGGTGGGCTACAACTCCTTAGGATCTCCGTAATGGTGCAAGTGCGGGAGTGATTCACTACCGCACAGATTTCGGCTCAAATTATCTGTAAGTGAGTATTTTATTAACATATCTTTCCTGAGCTCATAAAATGTAGTTATGCAAGACATGAACTGATCCAAAAATATACAGAACAATCCGTTTATCGGTTATTTTTCGTGTATGTCAACATCACAACTTGAATTTATACGCCATGTTTACTGACCTTGATCGATTTTATTTTCCGACAACCAATGAGAAATTGGGATCTAGGGGAGCGGATCATTTAGGATTTCCCCTATTTTAAGCATAAATATCACTGTTTATGAAAAAAATCGTATGGGATGCATTTATTTATCGATGTTTAGTGATATCATACAACACAAACATTTATCAACACCGACATTTACTTTATCAAGTGCTTCTAAAATTCAAGCGCAAGTCTCTGTACATCACGCGAGAAATGTCATGGCTGCTGAAGAGAACGACTGGTAAACACGCAGATTTATTTTACTTGGTTTTCGCTTATAAAGGGCTATGATGTTGATAGTCAATAAAAAATTCCGTCTTATTGGAAGTAAGTTGAATGCAAAAACAATTTATTTTGCCTGCAGTCGCCCGTATCTAAAAAATAAATTTGCACCATTACGGAAATTCAGTGGAATTGTAGCCCTCTCCTGAAAATATCAGATTTAAAAAAATCGGAGAGGGCTACATTATTGCAGCTAACATAACACATGTTTAAATGTCAAAGTAAGCCGTCGAGCGTGGAAGTAAGTGCTACTACTCGAGTATAGCTTGTGACTCATTTAAAAGAGAGGCAATCGATGATAAAACATGACATTTGCTTTCCACTCCTTATTGTTTTCTATTGTTTGTCATATGGTATGTACATGTAACGGAAGAAGAGAAAAATGCGACGGACCAGACCGGGATTCGAATCCGGACCTTCTGATTTTTTCGACAGATCCTCTACTAACTGTGATATCTGGCCTCCGTCGATCGAGCCCGTCTGACCGCCACATTTACACTTTCAGACATTACAGATGTCCTTTACAAAATTTTGATATTTCTTATGCAAAATTTGTACATGACAAATTAGCATGGCAAATAAGCACAAGTTTTATTTTCGCCCGATCGACACTCGGGCTGTGCTATCTCAGTCCAAGTCCAAACAGCATTTCAACATTTATTGTGGATCTAACAGAATTTTGGTACAAATCGGTGATATCGGGACGGCTGTCCGATTCCGACTGATCATCGAAAACAAATTCGACAATATATAAAACAGTTATTGCGTAACATGTGTAAAATGACATTTGAAGACATATACCGGTAGATAAAAGCTGTGACACTTGCGTAAATTCCTCAATTATTTACTTATCTTATTAATTCCCTTTGAACTGTTATGCCTCTTTAGAACCCGTAATTTATATTAACAGGAAATTAAATAAACATGATAATAGTCAATCTAATAAAAATTAGATGTTCCGAATCTGCTACCGCTTCTCAAAAAAGAGGTAGCGGATTCGGAACATCGTATTTTAATGAGAAGCGGTAGCGGATTCGAAACATCGTATTTTAA